TAAAAAAAAAAGTAAAGATAATTTTCTAATTAAAGTTCCATTATAAAATGCGAAAGAATTTGTAGGAGAAATGAACAAAAAAAAACTACTCTTTCCATTCTTCTCAGAAGACGTGAACGAAATAGGAACATAGTTATTAGGAAAAAAGAACATGAAACTAAGTCATTAGATTGTTCATTTTATAAAATGCGCCATCATTTTCAAAATAACCCAATGATGAAAGAGAAAAATTAAATAAAACTAATCTGTTAGATTTTTCTCAGAAAAATGACGAGCAATACTCGGAATAATTAACTGAACAAAAGACAAGGAAAGCGTCTTTTTCATTCTATTGCTTCTGTAAAATTTTCGACAATTATCGAAATAAGTAAAATGAAAAAGAAGTAAACTAAACTAGCTTTCTTCTTTTCTCCGTTTAAAAAAAAAGCAATTAAAGTATTGATGCAATGAAACGAAGAACAGCAAAGTAAACTACGTTCTAGTTTTCTGATAAAGTTAACGATCACTACGAACATAACTAAATGATGCACGAGAAAAATAAAATTGAACTAACCGATTCGGATTGCCCGAACGGCAACGCACAACTATGAGAATAAATAATTTAAAACAATAAACAAAAAAAATTATATGACGACTGAATTTCTTCAATGAAATTGCTAGAAGTGTCATAAGAACTATATAAGAAAGAAGAAAATTACAGTAGGTAAACCTTTTTGGTTTTTCTCAGAAAGTGTCGAACAGTACTCGGAATAACGACACGAAGAAGAAAAAGAAAACTGTTTTTTTTCATTCGATTACTGTTGAGAAACTAAGGGTGGGCAGCTTAGTATAAGTTTTAGAAAAACGTATATATCATATAATAATAAAAAAGAAATGCACAGAATCAGATTTTAGTTCTTTTTTATACACAAGCGATATTTTATATAGCAATATATAAAATATTTCTTCGTAATATTAAATATTTATGGTGTGATCAAAACTGATTCAAGTGACGTTTGGTTCCATGTTAACATCATTCATAGAGCTGTGAAATGTTATTCAAAAAAGATGAAAACAACAAAGTAAATCTTTAATTATTAATACAGATTATGTATGAACGAAACGAAAGCAAATATCTAGCTGTAAGAATTTTACTAGGGTTTAAAAAAAGCAGTTTCTGTGAAGCTAATTTTTATTATTTCTTTTTCGATAGATTATTCAAAAATGATTATGACTTCTCTGCTTAATAGAATAAAATAAAAAAAAATCGACTGAATATAACACAAACATCAATAGTATATTTGATAGTGTTAGAATGTGATGAGAACTTCTGTTCTGTTTTTTCGTATTTTCTTCTCTACTTAGATTTTAAACAAGAGAACATTTATTTGATGTCTTTGAATAGTAGCAGAAGAAAATGCATTCTATTAATGTTGTTGTGAGCAGTAAAATGATTAACTCTGGACTCAGCGTACGATAATACTACAATACTATATAGAGTGAAATGAGCTGAGCTACAAGGAACTATTTCCTATTCTGATTTTCTAACATATCATATTGTATTAGGAACAAAAAGCATACATATGTAAAACTTGAAGCTTAAATTCAATTGGGTTTCCAACTTTCAACTCTCAAGCTATGAAAGAGTGTGGGTGTGGATGTGAGAATGTAATGAAGACGACCTACACCCATACCCTCAGGACTGTTAATGTCATCAAGTTTAAAATTTATGCTTTTATTTACTATCATACGATCATTATTAATAGTACGATTGGATGTTGTTCAACACCGGATAACAGGCCGAACATGAGATTTTGTTTCATCTATGCCGAAACCAACAGAGTTCCAATGTTCATGTTCGGCTATCATTAGACTAAAGTTTTGTTTTGATATCCAATATGAGCTTTGAAACGACTAGAGAACATTATGGAGCCCGATTTCTTTAACATGAGATGTAGTTGTTGGAAGAGTAAAATGAGTTAGGTATGGTAATGATGTTTCCAACAGCATCTTCCATGCATTTACATCAAGAAGTTCACTGTGTGCTTTGATCTCAAGATATTTTAAAACAGGCATCGAATTCAAATATTCTGTTAACATATCCATTGTTACTAAACTGTTGCCAGCAAAACATAAGACGAATGCACGAAGTATCAGCATTACCGCAATATTCTGTTTTGAACGCTTTGCTTTTTCACCAAAAAAAGAAACTCTACTGGCTATTTCAACATCAAGCTCTTTAAGACAAGGAGCACACCGGAAAATATATTGTAGATCTTCAAATTCACAATGTATACCAGAAATAGTCAAATGTTCTATATTTGACGAGATCTTTGCTAAATTACTTCAGTTCATACGATTGAAGTCGCTCAAAAGAGAAAATTTTTTTAAAGACTTTAAGCTAAAAATACGGGCAATAGCGTTTCCTAGTGAGAGTCTATTTTCTTTGATACTTTCTTTTATTGATAAAGTGTCGATCTTTGTTTGTGGTAAGGAATAAAGAGCATTTTCAACAATTTTCCAATCGAGAGCTTCTTCATTAAAATGAAGATAAAGTATTCGAAGACATATAAATAATACAAACAATCGAAAGAAAGAGAGGAAAGCATAAACTTGACCAGGTGTATCTTGTTCTGATATAGCTAATTCTTCTATTTTGTCGATATAGGCGGGTAAAAGGCCTATACACAAACGAAAATCATCTTTATGACATTGAATAAAATTAAAATGAAGTCGTTGAGATTGAATAATAAGTGAATCAAATCATTGATTGAGTTGAAAGCTAAAATAATTTATTGTCTGTCTTTTTTTAACTGAGTGCATCTTAGTTTGCTTTTCTTTCTGCACCAACAAACATTTTATTGGTATCTATGAAAGATGAAGAACGATTCTGAGTTAGTCATTCTAATGTTTGCATATGGATGTATTTGTCATCAAAATATTAAAAAGCAAGTAATTCATCTGAAAAAAAGAGCTTTTTTTATATCGCTGAACGTATGACAGTAATTCTGAGCGAAACCATAGTTGATTAGGCAGTATTATTTTATATGACGTATGAATAGTTCTACGAAAAAATGCATAATATAACTCGAAATAAGATTCTTTCTTTTTAATCCATTTTGACCGATCTTTCACCAAATTTTTTCTCTTCTTGTATGGATTTTGTATGTTGTACAGGGATTCGAATCGTTAGAAACATATCCACAAATAGATCGAGCATTTTTCTAGAACAATTATATGTTTGTATTCAATTTTCTGGATAATTCATCTTCCACTTGAATGAAATCATTTTATTTAATTGAAATTGATACTATCGACTTTCTCAAACAAAGTGTACCGGTCAATATTTTAATAATATTTCTTTTAATATCTGTTTGTTCAAACCTAATTTTTTTTATTAATCAATCGACATTTTATTTCTGTATAAAATGGTATATTTTGTATTAATGCAAAGTAATATCTATCATTTTCCAAGACACCCTTCAAATGAAGGGTCAAAAAAAAAATGTTTCAATTCAATTGTTGCTCAACTTGCCTTTTAACTGTAAGATCCAGTTCGTTTATATGTATTTCTTTCCATGTGAAATTTCTCTAATACAGGGTATATACGAATTCGCTTGAAATTACATACTTCATTGTACTTAAATCTGCACATCTAGAGAACTGATAATGGAATAGGAAACGTTATACTGACCTTATATTTATATGACTCATAAAGATAAGATTTCAAACATCAATCTAATAAAAAGATCAATGGGATATCGATGTTCATTTTAGACCAAGAGATACATAAGATTATTCTTAACGCATTCTGAATATTTTTTCAAGGGATAGTTGTGGAGATGTAGGTATTCTCTTTACTCAAACCCACACCCACACCCACACCCTCGAAAGTCGTGCTCATAGTTAAGTAATATAGATTTTTTTAGATAAAAATTCAATGCGAATTTAAAAATCGCATTCATTCAATCAGTTTCATTTTGATTTTGAAAAATATCCAAGTTTGTCATTGCATATTCTTTTTTTTTCAAACAACGATCAATTATTTGCTTCGTTGCTGTCAGATTTTCAGACGTTTCTGATGTTATCAAAATTATGTATCGATACATTTGTTGAGCCAATTCATGAAAATTTCTCATTCTGTATGCAACTGCTAAGTCTTCATAGAAAAGTAACATTGATGTTTTATCGATAGAATTCTGGTAAGTGTCAGATAAGGGATCACACCAGATAAAAAAAAACGTCGGTAGTATTAATTTTCCTATGATAAGCTGATATTTGTTCACATATATTTTCGATGAGATGTGGTGGAAAATTTTTTTAAATAATTCAATAGCATAATATGATTGTTGATTGATCGTGTAGCTTTTTGCTACGTCTTCTAAGTAAATGTTCATATTATCATCTTCAACATAGATAAGTGCCTTTTCGAACCATGATAAGGCTTGATCACTATGTTTTTTTGTCACGGTACATGTCTACCATGTATCGATACAGTAAAAACAGTTCTGCATCATAGATAGTGCAAGATGTAAGATATTTAATAAAATTTTCATTTTGCTTCATTATTTTGGTAAATTCTTCTTTGTTTTTGCATACATTTTCGTTTATGTTTAAGTCAGCAAGAAAAAACGTCGCGTTCCAGTACATAAACTAGAGTCCAAGAAAAAAAACAGCCAAATCCAATATTGATAAGTCTGCCGTAATGTTCTAATAATTCATTACATTCATCTTTAATAAAATTGATAGATGCAATACAATTGGGAATTGTAAAAAGTATACGTTAACGATAATGATCTCGTAGTGAAGACTGATCATTTAAATCTAATTCATTATCAAATAAATCAGTTGAGTATTGTTTTCGATCGTAAAATTCTAAAGCTTTAGTTTGATACTACAAAGATAAATCACAATACTTTTATAATCTCTATAGGTATCACGATGACCATGAAAAAGTAATTCTTGTTGAACTAAATCAAGTATTATTAATCGAATAATTTCACGCATATGCATTCCTGAAATCATTTTTTTGAAAATTTTTTTTTGCCACGATTAATTGATGAAAGATGAACTTCTTCATCATACTTAGTTCGAATAAAATTAAAACAACCATTATCACTAAAAGCACTCCGTTCTGTATTAATAATAACTTGTTTTAGATCATTATAATCGCCATTCCATGTACCAATTTTATCTAAATTTTCAATATAACATGCATTTGTTTCAGTTCCTAGTATGAGACCAATAATTGTTGATGGATTTTTATATGCACAAGACATTAATGTTTCAACTGTATCATTAACAAGAGCGACACATTTTGTATTTATATATTTTTCATTAATAGCATCTTGTAGAAGTTTCACAATATCTTTATTGACAACATTTGAACAATTAAAACATTTTGTCCATGTTGTTAATTTTGCTGATGCGAGATCATCTTGTTGGCAAGGAAATGAAAATGTAAAACCTAATGAATCACATATATCAGTATTTAATAAATGTTCCTTTTTCCACAAATTCATGT